TTCACTTTTGAAATCGTATCCGTTTCCAATTTCGCTTTCGTTGTCGCTTTCCCTTCGTACACTTTGGCGGCCTTCTCGATGTTTTTCAGGCTTGCGTCCTCGATTTTGAGCAAGTCATCTAAGAGTTCCTTGTTGTTGGTGCCGCTAAGGGAGCTGAATACCAGGATGTCTTCTTTCGTGATACCATCTAAATCTGCCAATTCTCCGAGTTCCTTGAGCTTCGACAAGAAGTCGCTGAATTGTTCTCCGTTTTTTTGTTTTCGGCTGAAATAATCGAGGCGGCGAGTTACCAACGGGTATCGCATCGCAAAGTCTTCTTTGAGGCTCTCGATTAAACTTTCATTGCCGAATATGTTTGTTCTGGGACCCGTCTGCGCTGCCATTCTTGTCCTTAGATCGCTATCCAGCAGCATTTTGAAATATGAATGCTGCTCCTTAATCGTCATCTTGCTCATCTGATTCGATTCATAGTACGCTTCGTACTGCTCCAGCCATTGTTTTAGCTCGGTCGGTGATGCATCCTTGGACAGCATCGATGGTTTTAGCGAATCATTTATTCGCACGGGACGGCGTTCTTCGTTTTCGGCGTTGATTCGTGGCTGAGGTGTTGGATTGTCGGCAATTGCTTCCATAACTCGCTCGGATAATTCGTCGAAACGTGCACGATCCACGTCTAGGTCGTCGTCGTATTTGTCCAGATTTCGGTTGTCGGATTGTTGCATTGCCATCGTTAGGTCCACGATTTTCCTGAAGTATCCTTGCACCTCCTCCAACCGTGATAGAAGCGCATCCTTAGCACTTGATGACCCATGTTCCTTTGTAACCGTGACGAATCGTTTCGTAGTTGTTATAGTTCTCGATAGATGGCTCCGGTAGCTCCGTATCGATCTAGACATACCGTCTAGTTCCATTGCTGTTTCCTCGCTGGTACTTTGGCTCTTGTTTGACGCCATGTTACGTCATAAGGCGTAACGATCGAGGTCGGCTTCCATACGATGTGGATATCTAGCACGAACTGATTTATTGACGATACGCGGAATGTTATGATGTGTGAATATTAACAGTGTGAGTTATGACGTCATCTAAAATATACGAAGCACGCCGATACGATCTATAGCTATATAATGTAACA